TTTATATTTTTAAATATGGTATCCAAATGGACAGTAATACAATTTTTATAAACTAAATGATTTTGGTAAATAATTTATCGTTAAAACATTATATTATATTACATTTAAAATATTAAAATATTACATTTTAGTTAGATTTAAATTTGTAATATGTATTTGTAAATTCATGTTAAAAAAATTAAAATATGTAAAGATTTTCACCATAACATTTAAAATGAATTGGAATGTTATGATTGATTAGTTTAATTGATTTATTCTTTAAAATCCTACATATATGATTTTTACTTAGTATCTCCTCAGTTTTAATATATAGAGGATTGTCCGAGTGTAATACAGATAGAAGAAGGAATTAGAGGTAACCAAAAAAAAAGGAGGGGAATAAAAAGGAATTAGGGTTTTAAGAAAGTAGTGTTGCGAAATCGGCGCCATGGATGAACAGAAGGAGAAGGGGAAAAATATCAACAAGACAACACATGACGATGATAAAAGATGTCAAGTAGATACGGTTCCTCTTGATCTAACCGCGGAGATACTCTCAAGACTTCCTGCGAAATCAATCGTGAGATCTCTCTGTGTTTTAAAGCTCTGGTCTTCTTTCATCAAACTTCCAAGTTTCATCAAGACGTTCACGACTCATTCCTCTGCACGTAGTAGTCTTCTGGTCACCTTCATAGCAGAAGGGAAGCGATTCGTTTTCTTGTTTCCTCAACAAGAGAATCCTGACGGGTCTTATCCTCTAGTCTATAGTTATCAGATGACAAACACCAACGATTGGATTTGGAACGATGTTCAATCCGAGGGTATCCATGGCTTGGTATTATTCCGAGGATTCGTAATTTGGAACCAAGCCATGAGAAGGTTTTTAAACTTACCAGAGCCCGAACCATCAACGATCGAGGGAGTGTCTTACTTAGGATACGACCCATAGGAGGGTAAACACAAAGTATTGTACGTACATAGCAAACATTCCGAACTTGCTTGGATCCGTACATTGGGAGCTCAAGAATCATGGAGAATAATATCCAACCCTAGGCCTTTCCATCGCCCATCACAACTAAGTTTTGGAGGAGCTTGTGGTGGTCGATGCTTCAATGGAATTATGTATTATAGAGCCTTTTTGGTTCTTCTGATCCTAGTGATAACCATATAATAATGAGTTTTGATGTTAGATCTGAAAAATTCATACCCATAAAATATCCCAATGGTCGTAAGGCTTGGAGATATGCTATAATACCTTATGAGGGAAGGATAGCCTTAGTTCGTCCTGAAATTTCTAATACTGATAAGGTTCATCTATATATTATAAAAGATGAAGGTGGACACGAATGGATGCGTAGATGCTTTCTCGTACCTCCTTCTAATAGTAACAAAAGACAACCAAGGCGTACTTTAAAGTTCTATGGTGTTACGGATGCTGAGCTTATTTTTGCACCGTGCATATTGTCTGTGTCGTTTTATTTTCTTTATTTCGATTGAAGAGAAACAGTATCAGAGAAGCCTTGTTTGAAGGAATTGCGGGTGATGAATTTAGACGTCGGTATGGACTTGGCGAAGACTGTAGACGGCCATTGCGTGCTTTCGCAAATCACATTGAGAGTCTGGTCATGTCTTTATAAACCAGCTCCTTCATCGCTCAATGCTCCTTAATGTTTTTGTTTCTGTTTTTGTTTCATGACACTTTTATTTGTGGACGTACGATTTCCAGGAAGACAACATATCAATAGTTATGATTTGTTTAAGAGCACTTCCAATGGTAAGATGTTTGGAAAAAAAATATCTCATCA